TTGGCTTAAAGGGACTTTGCTACAGTCCTCTACTGTCCTGCAGACTTCAGTTCCAACACTGCTCCAACACACCCGCCTGTAATTATCAAGTAACCCTGAACAACCCTGATTATCTGGTTCAAGTGTGTTTATTTGGGGTTGGAGCTGAAATTCACAGGACGGCAGCTCTCCAGAAGCAGGGTTGGAGACTTTTGTGCTAGTATTCAGAAAATGTTTTGTATTATCATTTATTTAGATCTGACTCGTTGGCAAACCTTTATTCCCTCAAAGACTGTCCAGTGTTACTCTATGCTCTACTCTGTTGCTTTTTCTGTCTCCTGTCTATGTACCTGTAGATGCTGCTCACTTTCAGACCAATCATTTCCCGCACATAAGCAACGGAGGGGAAGAAACTCCATAGTGCATTATTAAAGGAAGTCCTTTTTTCCTTTGCTTGCATCATGAGGGACTGTATGTGCGTGGGTGTATGCGGTCGGAAAAACACACATGTAGATTGATCAGTGAGGGTTAGATGTACACAGCAGGTGTGCCGGGAAAGCTCTGCTTGGGTTTTAATGCACAGCCGTTAGGGCTGAAACTCCATAAATCATCAGCCAGTGGTGCATGTTTTATTTTTATTTTATTTTTTTGTGGGATATGGACAAAGCAACAGGTTTCAGTTTGAATCCTTGAACTGTTTGCAGGAGTCTGGCAAGTGTTGTATAGATCAGCTCAATGTCTTGTCTCCATCTAATGTGTCCAGATGGGCAAATAGGGTTTATTTCCTTCTGAAGAAGCAAGACGTGTTTATTTGCTGGAAGTGTGTTGACCTCGTCACATGAGTTGTGTGCGACAGGAACAGCTCTGTTCTCTTACAACCTGACAGCTGCGCTCCAATGAACAATGTCTGCGAGTCTGTCTCTTTCTCTGTCATTTTTAGTTGTGTTTGCTAAGTCAAGCTTCACTTTTACTACATAGGGTTTGATATTTATTAAAAAAATGGCCGTCTGTGAGAGCCTTAGATTTGTGGGCAGCGTTCTGGCATTTGGTTAAAAGTGCTTGGGGCATTCAGAGTTTGGGTCCTGACTTTTCTAATCCTTATCACAATAAAGAAAGATTTAGCTTTGACTGACCCTTGATTCGCAGCAGGGATGCATGGAAGGAGGAATTGCAGGGTTTTTTTCTCGTTCTTTTTTTCACTCGTGTGATATAACGAGTGCCGATGACAGTGCTGGATGTCAGCAAGTTTTGCTGTGTGTTCGCTGTGGTTGTCATGATGCCAGATTCTGCTATAGAGCGGCGATGTTCCCTCCTGCACAACTCTCATCTGTCTATCACAAAATAAAATACTTACAAATGTAGCCCCACTGGCAGTTGAGATATCAGTTTCAACATTTATTAGACTTTAAAAAAAAAACTTCTGATTTAAGTGAACTTCACATAATCTTCAATACAATCTTCACATAAACCCATTATAATAAATGTCATATCTACTTGTGCCCTTCTGCAGCAATATACAGAAATTGAAATTGAAGTTATCAAACACTACGTTCTAAATTAAATATAGATGAATCCTTAAAGCTATAAAAATTATTGATTTCCTCTTTTTTTCTTTCTCTTTTTTTATTTTTTATTCTTTGATTAACAGACATCACAGCAGCTAGGTTATTAGGTTTTTTGGCTGCTATTTCTTTAAGAGCTGCCGCTGCTCCACGTGACGAGGATCTGACACGCATAGTATTTTCTCTCAAATCTCTACCTTTTCTGACCCAATTCAGGTCTTTAAGGCTACGTTTACACGACAATGATGTAGTCAAAAACGGAAAAGTTTTTCCCTTGCGTTTTTTTTAAAAGTTTCACGTATACACGATAACGTTTTCAAAACAGGTTACCAACAGGATGGCGCTGCAAATGGCAGCCAGGACGCTGAGCTCCGCAATTCTTCTATTGTTTTTGTTTGTTTGTTCTGTGTTTTGTCATTCTTCTTCTATAAGTTTTACCAGAGACGAACTCCTTAACATTAAGCAACACATCCCAGCCAATATTTTTCCGGTTTTTGATTATTCGGACGTTTTGTTGGACATTCTAGTCGGAGGTACAGCTGTGTTGTTCAAACGCGCGTGCAAACGCAGAAGAGGGAAACGCGCCGGCGCCCTGGTGAAGCTCTGCGCGTGGCTTTCGGACTGCACTCCCAAGCATTCATCTTGCGAATGTCCATTCCCTTCCTAACAAAACGGATGAACTTCTTCTCCTCACCCGCACCAACAAGGACTTTTCACACTCTGCTGCACTGTGCTTCACTGAAACCTGGCTGAGTGAAGCCATTCCGGACAACGCGCTTCATCTGCCGGGCTACCAGCTGTTCAGAGCGGATCGCATCGCGGAGTTAACGGGGAAAACCAGAGGTGGTGGATTGTGTTTCTACATCAACGAAAGTTGGTGTTCAGATGTAACAATCAGAAAAGCTGAGAAAAGAGCTTTCCGCAAACGATCCGGCATCAGTATGGACTGGTCTGAGGAACATCACCCTGTACAAGACACCACCCCCACAGTCTGCGGAGAATCAACAACTGGCTGACGATCTGAATGTGTTTTACTGCAGATTTGAACTGACCACCAGAACAGCCAGGCACAAGAACAGTTTTTTCCCACAGGATATATTCAGCCTGAACAATTAATCTATCATAATTATACATCATCCATCACAACTAACATAGTTATATTTATATTAAACTGTGCTCTCACCTTTTTAGTAAACCGTACCTGTAGGGAAGTGACGATTATATGTTGTATATGATGTGTCTCCGGTGTTGGTTATAATATATAATATGGTGAAATAAATCCACACTTTGCTGAAGAAACGTTAGCAAACTCTTGAGCAGCAACAACCGTACCATGTACTCCACCATTGTTGTGTATGTTTGTTCGCGCTTGCCTTTAAAATCGACACGTACTGCGCATGTTTACATACCTAACACGTACTATGCATGCGCATGACGTCACCGTTTTCAAAGATTCCCGTATTGGGTGTTTACACGGAAACGATAACCATGTCTACATACCTAACACGTACTACGCACGCACATAACATCACCGTTTTCAAAGATTCCTGTATTGGGTGTTTACTAGGAGTGTGCGATATATATAGTCTGTGATAATATTGTAATTGTTGTTTTAACGATGCGCGATTTGACATTATCGAGTATTTTGCAAAAACCATTCAAAACATCCCTACAGAGCGCACACATACATTACGTGAAGTCTAGACTAGTGCGTGTGCGCATTTAGTGTGTTTTCTTTCAGTCTCTGAACAACATGACGGTGTTTCGTTTTTGAATGAATCAACCGTTTAAATGATTCGGTTCAATCGCAATGACTCACTTATTAAGAGGGATTTGCTGCCACCGGCTGGCAGTTTTAATTTCAAATTTCGACTTTTTCTTTTTTTTTTATAGATTGTTTTCATGTTTTAAATCATTTCAAATATCAGTATTCAATGTTTTATGTTTAATATATCAAAACATTAGTTTTCCGTTTTTGGCTGAAAACGTTGTCGTGTAAATGGTCCCAAAGTCTCTACTAATGAACTGACAAGTTGAATCGGGTGTGTTAGATGAGTGAGACAGTGCTGGGCTGCTCCAGGACAGTTTTAAAAACCATTTCAGAGACATGTTCTTAATGTAACTCATATAAAATATATTACATGCATGCACAGTTTTAAGGCAGCTTTAATCGCCCTTTTGGTAACTTCATGACTTAACTGACCACGACATTGCATGCACATGGTTTAATTTGAACTCTGACATGAAATGATACAGGCTACAGCGCGCACCGGCGTCTTTGTGCGTGCAATTGAAGAGCACGCGCTCCGAGCACAGTATTGTTTCCGCGCTGTTTGTCTCTCGCCTGGCGCTGAAGTGAAGTTGGAGTGCGCGTCTGAAATGTCTCCCATTTGATGTGGTCGTAAAGACATTCTGCGACTGAATAAACAAACGTTTAGGCTACAATGGCCTAACATAAACTATGGAAAATAAGAGAAGATAATTCGAGAAACTTTTTTTTTTCGTTAATGGAAGTCATTGGTAACCAAAAGAGTCTTCAAAATACCTTTTTAATGTTCCACAAAATAAAGTAAGTCATTCAGGTTTGAGTAAATGATTTTTGAGTAAATTATGACATAATTTACATTTTTGGGTGAACTATCCTTTTAATTTTTTTTACCCTTTTTTTAATGAAATAATACTCTGAATAAGAAACTAAAACTGCCAGCAGGTGGCGGTAAAAGTCTTTATGAGTCATGCATTCATTCGATTCATTCAAACAGCTGATTCATTCAGGAATTCAGTAAACGGCTCACTTTATGAATGAGCCTTTGATTCATTGATTCACCCGATTCGTTCAAAATGTGGATTTTATTCAGAAACTAAACACCGCTTTGTTGCTCGGAGATGCACAACAATTCTGCTGTGGCTTTATAGGTAATATTTTTGTCAGCAAAACTGAGCAAAAACAGACAATACTGTGTTTAAAATATAACACAATATTAACTTCTTATTTACTGAACTGCTTACTGAAAATATTTTAATCACGTTATTTTTTCATAACTAACTAATTAAGTTAACGCGTAAAACTGACAGCCATTCATTCATTTATTCATTCACTTGCGTGCCATTCCAACCCAAAACTTTCTTACACATAAAACAAAAAGCATTCATCTAGAAAGAAAGCATTTTGTAAACCCAACACCACTGTTTCAAATAAACTGACACTCATCTATTCAAGTGAACTATTTCACATTGTGTCTGTAGTGTTTTGGAAAAATGTATTTGAATTTTATTAGGTCATAAATTGATGTCAGTTGCCCACATATCCAAGTGCCCATCCCAGGACAGCATCCTAATAGTTCCACTGCTTGAGGTGTTTTTTTTTTTTTTTAGAGTCAGTGCACATGATACTTTAGCAGCTACATAGCAATACCCTGCTAACCACCCACAACAGCCTGAACCTTATTCTTCTTGCAGGATCTCAAGGGCTGCGTCTGTGCTGCTGTCGGATCCTTGCTTCCAGCTTCGCTCCATCCAGTACCTGCTCGGAGAAGGAGATGCCGGAGCCGCCAGCGCCGACTGCAAACACTTCTCTCTGCACACATGTAAGCCTGGACTAAACACGTGCCCTCTTACCCATCCTGCTGCATAATCAGCAGGATGTTAAATTTAGTCACCATTGTATGTGTCGCATTGAATTCTTTGATGCACAACGTTTTATGGTCTAAATATACTTTTTAGAATAGCCTTCCATATCCAGTGACGTGAAGGTGATTGTGTTCTTAAAATATCTCCTGCTCCACCAATTCACTCAGCTCTGATTTAGAACACTAAGATCAAATCCATGCACTGATTGAGATGCGTTATAATTATAATCTGCTATAATGGCCTCTACATACAGTAAATGATATATCTCCTCTTAGCAGGTGAAATTTAAATGAACAAAAAAAATAA